GCTGAGACGAATGCTCCTCCCATGCTTGTTGTACGATGCGACCCACCCGGCATCGAGGTGGCGTGCAGAAGCTCTACAGCCTGCGTAACGGCAAGAACGTGACAGCAAGCAGCCGACGTTAGTATCCGTCTCTCTGGTCTCGTGACAATTCCTTCTTCTCACCGGCAGATCCACCTCCCGCTTGCCTACTTCGTAGCTCCACTGCCGTCTGCATTCTATTACGAAGCTCAGCCCAGCTCTAGCGACCAAAGGCTCACTTGGAAGCTTGACGCTCCAGACCTCCTCCAGACAAGAGCCCACAGCTTTTGCTCCGAACAGCCTGGCAAAGAGACCGGGGTTGTTGGCAGGGGGTGGGAGAGCCACACCTGGCAGCTTATGTGTCGTCCAGGAGGCGGGTGATGGCGAGCTCAGCAGAGCGCGCACATCCAAAACAGTCGGCTGACCTTTGAGCAAGCGGCGAGTCCGATTGGATCTGTCGATGGAGGCAGCGACTGCTGGAGAAGCAGGCGGAGGAGGCAAAAAGACGAAAGGCGCTATCGTCCTGTCCGATTTGCGCAGAATACCTCTCTCCACGATCAATCTCGCTTCCCACCTGATCGACGCCCACTCTTCACCCTTGTCTTGCCCTCCTCTCTGTTCCTTCTGAGTAGCCTTGGTGGACTTGTAGGATTGCAGCACGAACGATGCGGGCAGGTCTCCATAGGTGGAGCTGCGTGGCAGCTCGATTGCAAAAGGCATGACGTGTGCGGCTGAAGAGCTCGCACTACTGTGCGGAATGGCAACGGTAGTCGTCGAGTTGAAGAGCTCTTGGGACTGCACTGTATGCGAAGTGGAAGAGGGCAGCTTGTCCAGAGGAATGGCTGTGCTGACTCTTGGCACCTTGGCTGTCACTATCGCAGTGATCTGAGCAGATTCATTGTCGAGCATCTACATCAGAAGGTGATCTTCGCATTCACCATCACCAGCACAACATGTCCTCACCTTGATCTTGACGCTCTTCGCCTCTCCGTCCACTCGAACAAATCCCGTCATGGCACCTCTGCCCCTCTCCGCAGAGCCTCCCATCACAGTCAGATACTTTTGCGGCAAGGTCTGTACGCTGCGGCCCACGTCGGTTCGAAAACTTTTGAGCTCCTTTCAGCAAGAGAAGAGCAAGTAGGCATACACACTCACACCAAAGCAGCCCGACCCC